AGGCGGCTCCGGATCTCCGCCGCGACGGACTTGGCGAGGTCGTCCGCGACGGACCGGCGCCGCTCAGGCGTCGGCGACGGCGCCGGCGGGCTCGCCGGCGGGCTCGCCGCGGGCGCGCGCGCGCGGGGCGGCGACGCCGCGGCGGGCGGCGGCGCCGGCGGCGGCGCGGCCGCCGCGGCCGCGGCGCGCTCCGCGGCGAGCGCCGCCGCGGCCTCGCGGTCCCGCGCCTCGGCCTCGCGGCGGCCCCGCTCCTCCTCGAGCCGCTTCTTCTCCTCGAGGACGTACTCGTCCATGCGCTTCCGCTGCTTCTTGAGCTCCTCCTCGAGCACGTACGCGCGGCCCCGCTGCTCGTTCGCGACCTGCGCGCGGTGCGGCTCGGGAGGCGACGGCGCAACCAACGGACGCGGTGCGGCGACGCGCTCGCGGTCCTGCATGGCGAGGCGGCTCGAGTGCTCCGCGGCCGTCGCCTGCTGGAGCTGCTGCCGCAGGTCCGCCTCCCGCGCCTCCGCCGCGCGCTGCACGGCCGCGAGGCGCTCCTCGAGGGCCCGCAAGTCCTTGCGCCCGCGCTCCGTCGAGACCTACAAAGCGTCGCGTGTTTGAACCGTCGCGTCTCGAGGAAGATGCGCCGGCCGCCGACGAGCGCGGCGTCGCACTCGGCGACGTAGACGCAGATGCGCTGCTGCGCCGTCGCCTCGGCCTCGCGGCTCAGGGCCAGGCGCCGCTGGCACTCCTTGAGCTCGCCCTTGGTGCGGGCGAGCTCCTTCTCGAGGCCGCCGCACTTGCGCCGCGCGTCGTCGCGCTCGCGGCACCGATCCGCGCAGGACTCCTCCAAGTCGTGGACGTGGTGGCGCAGGCCGTCGCGCGCGACGGTCACCAAATCCCGCTCCTCCTCCAGCGCCGCGCGCCGCTGTTCCAGCGCCGCGTTCTCCTCGACGCCGGCCTTGACGCGCACGACGACGTCGTCGAAGAAGCGCTGGGCGCGGCAGCGCATGTCGCTCGTCAGCGCCGCCGACGTCGCGCGCACGGCGCGGAGCTCGTCCTCGCGGGCGCGGAGCAGGGCGCCGAGATCGTCGTCGCCGAGGAGGCCCCCGGACTCCGCGGGCTCCGCCGCGCCGCCGGCGCCCATCTCAAACAGGCAGCCCCAGCGCCGTCGACTGCACCCACAAGCATCTCGGGGACTTGCAGTCGAGATGCAGCAGATCCTCGCCGCGACAGACCCCTATGCGGCTCCTCGCCGTGCTGGTGCTGCTGCGCACCGCGTCGCCGACGCCGAAACCCGCGGACTGCGCGCACGGCGCGCTCGTTTTCGGCGTCGGTCTGCCCAAGTCCGGCACGCGCAGCCTCGGGGCCGCCGCGCGCCGGGGCCTGGGCTTCGTGCCGTTGAAAGCCTTTGGCGGAGGCGTTCCGTACGACTTCCAGCGGCACTTTCTTCCCTTCGCCGAGGGGCTCCCGCAGAACCGTTCGAACCCGCTGGCGGGGCTCGACGTGCGCGAGTCGACGATCTTCACGGACTTTCCCTGGTACGCGCTGAGCTGCCCGCTGGCGCGCGCCTACCCGCGAGCGCTCTTCGTCGACGTGCGCCGCGACTGCGCGTCCTGGGCGCGGTCCGCGCTGAGCCAGCTCTTCTGCGCCTGGCTGCAGGGCGGCTGCACTCGCGCGGCGACGTACTGCGCGACACGCGCGGGGAACTTCCCCAAAAATCACCTCTCCGTCGGCTTCTGCACGACGAAATGGCGCGGCGGCCGGCGTCGAGATCCGCCGCGCGCGTCGCGGCGCCGCGCGCGCGAGCGGCCGACTCGCGGCGGGCAGGTACTTCGACCAGATCGAGCCCGGCCTCGTCGGCGAGGACTTCTGCCCGCGGCGCCGGGAGATCTGCGGCGTCGGCGCGTCCGGGCGGAAGACGTACAACGGCTCGGACCCGGCGACGCCGGGCCTACTCGAGCGGCTCGAGCGCGTCTGCCGGGCGCACCCGAAGCGCGTCGAAGCCTGCGTGCCGCCGGAGCGGCTCCTGTCGATCCGGCTCGCGGCCGACGCGGGCGAGGTCGCCAAGCTCGCGCCCTTCGTCGGCTGTCCCAATTCGTCCGCCGCGATCGCCGATGTCTGGGCCGCGAACGGGCCCCAGGGCCACCAGCTGGGCTTCGAGCACCGCGGCGAGGTCGTCCAAGTCACCCCCGGAACTTCCAGACCGGAAGGCCCGCGTACCCGATCGCGTGCCACGCCGCGCGCCTAGGCCGAACCAAGTCCCAAGGGGTCGATCATCCCGATTGGTCCCCCTTTCCCCACCCCGAACGCCGACTCTAAGGCCTGCACCGAACCCTTCGCGTAACCCCCAGATGACCCAATTCCCCCAGCGTCATCCCCTAGGATACCAATCCCCCGTATCCTCCTCCTCCTTAACCTAGCCTATAACGCCAGTGCTATGGAACCGTTCACCTCATCTGGGTCATGCTCCCACAGCGCTACTACCTGTAAAGCTAACCTGCTACCTACACATACCTGCGCATCACGCAGAGCCTGCACACGCAGCGCTACAACAAGAGCGCGGCGCCACAGCCGCCGCCGCTCCGCCGCGCGCCAGCGTCATCCCCTAGGATACCAATCCCCCGTATCCTCCTCCTCCTTAACCTAGCCTATAACGCCAGTGCTATGGTTCACCTCATCTGACCCCGGCTCCGCGCCCCCGCCGGCCGGCGCAGACTGACCTTTAGCTTCCCGGGCGGAGGCCGAAGGCCGGAGGACTCGGAGCACGGGCAAACTTGTCTCGTTTATAACTTCACCGAGATCGTCGTCGCTGAGCACTACGACGCATCGCGCGTCGCAGCTATGGCGGCCATGGACTTCGCCTGCGTCATGCCGCCGTACCTCGAGCGCACGGTCGCCGACTGGCTCAGGGACGACTGCCCGAGCCTCGACGTCGGCGGCCTCGTCGTCGGCGACGGCGTCACGACGGCGACGCTCTGGTGCAAGAGCAGCGGCGTCCTCGCCGGCAAGCCCTTCTTCGACGCGACCTTCGCGGCGCTCGGCGACTGCGTCGTGACCTGGCTCGTCGACGAGGGCGCCGCCATCGATTGCGCCGGCGGCAAGGTCAGGGCCGCGACCGTCGTCGGCCCGGCGCGGAAGCTCCTCCTCGGGGAGCGGACCGCGCTCAACGCGCTGTCGCGCGCGTCGGGCGTCGCGTCGGCGGCGAAGCGCGCCGTCGACGTCGCGCGGTCCGTCGGCTGGCGCGGCACCGTCGCGGGCACGCGGAAGACGACGCCGGGCTTCCGCATCGTCGAGAAGTACGCGCTGCTGATCGGCGGCGCGGGCACGCACCGCCTCGACCTGTCGCAGATGGTCATGCTCAAGGACAACCACGTCTGGGCCGCCGGGTCCATCACGACGGCCGTCACGACGGCGAAGCGGGCCGCGGGCTTCAGCGCGAAGATCGAGGTCGAGTGCCGCGACTTGGGCGAAGCGCTCGAGGCGGCCGCCGCGGGCGCGGACGTCGTCATGCTCGACAACTTCGACCCCGCGGACCTCAAGGTCGCCGCCAAGGCCGTCAAGGCGGCCCACCCCCACGTCCTCGTCGAGGCGTCCGGCGGCATCACGCTCGACACGATGGCGTCGTACCTCTCGCCGGACGTCGACGTCGTCTCCCAGGGCGCGCTCACGCAGGGCTACGCCTGCGTCGACTTCTCCCTCAAGCTCCCCAAGCCCGAGGGGCTCACCTGCAACGTCTAGTTCGGACCCGCCCGCCGACCGTATATTTTCTCTCGCGCCGTGGTTCAGCTCCTCCGGCCTTCAACATTACCTCAATCGCCGCAACATTACTAAAATCGCCGCCCTTCTAGATCTGCCGATTGCCGAAGGCGATGTGCTCTCCCTTCGTGGCGCCGCCAGCGCTGCACGCAACACCTGCAATTCCAATTCGACGCCAGCGCGCGCGGCGGCGGCAGGGCGACGGCTTCGCGCCGAAGCAGGTGAACCCGCTCAAGTGGCAGTTCGCCGGCTTCGCGCGCACCTGGGGCGACTGGCTCGGCGCCTTCGACGACGCGGCGCGGCCGCTCGTCGTCGACGTCGGCTGCGGCGAGGGCGAGTGGGTCGCCGCCGCCGCGCGGCGCTTCCCGCACCTCAACTTCCTCGGCGTCGACGTCCGCGCGGCGGCGTTCGCGGGCGCCGCGGCGGCCGCGCCCGCAAACGCGGCGTACCTGCCCGCGAACTCGGCCTTCGGCGACCTGCTGGCGCTCTTCGCCGCCTGCCGGTCGCGCGGCGTCGCCGTGCGCCACGTCTTCGCCCAGTTCCCGGACCCGCACTGGAAGCGCGCGCACGCCGGCCGCCGCATGGTCACGGCGTCGCTCCTCCGCGCGGCCGCCGTCGCCGTCGCGGGCCGCGGCCGCGTCGTCGTCCGCTCCGACGTCGACGCCGTCGTCGCCGGCGCGTTGGACGCGGCGCGCGAGGCGCCGGCGCTCCTCGAGGCCGCCGACGCGGACCCCGAGGTCGCATCGCTTTTGGCCGTCGGCACCGAGCGCCTCGCGTACGCGCGGCGAAAAAAATCGGACTTCGAGGCGCGGACCCTGGTCCTCGCGCCGACGGCGGGCGTCGCGCGGCGCGCGGCGCTGGGCCGGGCCCTCGCGTCCGCGCCGCCGCCGGACGACGGCGCGCGCGACGACTTCGCGGGGTCGACGTTCTACCGCTGTTCCGCCGCGGCGCCGGCGCTCGCGGGCGACGGCTGCGACAGCGGCCGCTTCCTCTGGCCCGCGTCCGTCGCGCTGGCGCGCTGGGTCGCGGCCCACGCGGATCGCCTGCCGCCGCGGGGCGCGTGCCTCGAGCTCGGCTGCGGGCCCTGCGCTTGCCGAGC